GACATGATAATTACCGGAAAGTCCAATGAAGAGCACTTAGAACGGTCAGAGGAAGTTCTAAAGCGATTACAAGAGGCAGGTTTGAGAGCAAACAAAGAGAAGTGTGAATTCTTCAAGGAGAAAGATGTGTTTTGTGGCCATGAAATTGATGCCAATGGTTTACACAAAACCCAAGAGAAGATCGAGGCAGTAGTGAACGCCCCTAGGCCCGAGAATGTGTCACAAGTTCGATCCTTCCTAGGACTGGTAAATTACTATAATCGGTTTCTCCCCAACGCAGCTTCAGTTCTTCACCCACTACACGTATTGCTTCAGAAAAGTCACAAGTGGAAGTGGACTGAACAATGTGAGAAAGCTTTTAAAAATGCCAAGCACTTGATAACCTCTGACCTAGTCCTAACCCACTACGACACAACGCTTCCAGTTAAGATCGCATGTGATGCTTCACCAACCGGAATTGGTGCAGTGTTGTCGCATGTTATGGCAGATGGAAGTGAAAGACCAGTGGCTTTTGCATCCAGATCCCTCACCAAGACGGAGCGCAAGTACTCCCAGATTGACAAGGAAGCACTGTCAATTGTATGGGGGGTCAAGAAGTTTCACATATATTTGTATGGGCGACGGTTTACACTAGTCACTGACCATAAACCTCTGACATCCATTTTCCATCCAGAAAAAGGAATACCCATAATGACGGCCACAAGACTCCAACGCTATGCATTGTTCCTAGCTGGATTCGAATACGACATTGAGTACAAGAATACGAAAGAACACTGTAATGCAGATAGTCTATCACGACTACCACTGCCAATGACGGAGAAAGAGGATACAGCTGTGGATGCAGCTGAAGTGTTTCATGCAACCCAGTTAAACATTCTCCCAGTCACCAGTGAATCGGTAGCTAAAGAGACAAATCGTGATCCCATATTAGCCAGAGTTTATGATTCAATAGTTAAAGGTTGGTCAGCACGTTTCGAGGGAGACAAGCCCTACCATGACCGACAGAGTGAACTTACAGTTCATCAAGGTTGTATCCTTTGGGGAATGAGAGTGGTCATCCCTAGCAAGTTGCAAGAGAGAATTCTGCGAGAGCTACATGATAGTTATTTGGGTATCGTCAAGATGAAGGCCCTATCACGAAGCTATGTGTGGTGGCCAAACATCAACCAACAGTTGGAGAACGTAGCGAAAACCTGTAGTGGTTGCCTACAGAACCAAAAGATGCCATCCAAGGTATCCTTACACCCATGGGAATGGACCACTTCACCATGGCAACGTGTACATATTGATTATGCTGGTCCTTTTAAGGATACTATGTTCCTGGTGGTGGTCGACGCACACAGCAAGTGGCCAGAAGTAATTCCTATGAAGTCGACAACCGCAGCGAAGACCATTGAAGTACTACGAAATTTGTTTGCACGATTCGGAATCCCGGAACAGATTGTCTCCGATAATGGCCCCCAATTCGTCTCAGAAGAATTCCGGTCGTTTATGAAATCTAATGGAGTAAAACACATCACCTCTGCCCCATACCACCCTGCTACAAATGGCCTTGCAGAAAGATCAGTGCAAACATTCAAACAGGCACTGCGTTCAATGGAAGAAAGTTCGAAGCCAATTCAAGAGAAGTTAGCAAAATTTCTTATAACCTATAGAAATACCCCACATTCAACAACTGGAGAGAGCCCAGCACAACTTATGCTTGGCAGGCCAATACGGACACGTTTAGACTTAGTTAAACCTAATCTGAACAGGAAGATGGTGATCAAACAACAGGAGCAGAGCAGGAAGTCGGCCAGTGCCAAGAACAGAGCAACACGGCAGTTGGAAGTGGGAGACATGGTAATGGCACGTGATTACCGAGGAAATCTAAAGTGGAGATCGGGAAAGGTCATTGAAAGGATCGGACCTTTGATGTATAAGATCGAAGTGACATCGGGCGTAATCTGGCACAGACATATTGACCAACTGCTGCCAACCGAAGTTAAACTAAGCACAATACAGGACAGGGAGCAAACTGCGAATATGGGAGTAGTGCAGCCGGAAGTGATATCCAGTTCAAGTGAACAGACGTTGCCAATAGTAGCAGCGGACTTGCAAGTGCAACAGGGCTCCAGCACCCACGAACTTGTAAATGAGAGCACTACAGAGACATCAATGCCTCTGGCGACAACGAGCGAACGAAGATATCCAGAAAGAGTGAGGAAACCACCTGTGAGACTTGATCTCTAAAGTAGCAGTGTTACGGACAGATGTAGGGGTTAGAACGTATATTTACAGTATATAGATATACAGCAAAGACTGTTAATTATGACTTTAATGTTAATGTTATGTGCAGCAAAGACTGGATATTGACTGAACAATTTTTAGTAGGGAGGAGATGTTATGGGTTACCTATGTTATTAGGATGCGCGCACATCCACCATGTGTTCGGAATGAGTGCTTCTTGTTGAGTTATACACGAAATATAATATAGCTATTTAATAGAAAGCAAATACACAACAGTATATTTTTGCATGAAATTTAGAATACTCCCCTATCTGACTAGTCATAACCTTTCAAGGTTCGTCGGGCAATACTACGGCCACGCCCTTTATGTCGGGCAAAATAGCCCCATACCCCCCGAAAGTTTATACCCAAGTTTCAGCCCTGATTATAATATGTTTTCGCAGGGTTCGTAGTCTCCAAGACCAAAAAAATTCAAAGACTTTCAAAGACTTTTTCTGCCTATTTTCAAACACTTTTCAAAGACCTTTGAGAGCAATCAGCTGTCGAAAAATAGCGAGTGCAAGCACCATTTTTACCCGGTAATTATAGTTCCGTCAAATCACATCCTAAAATGCACGTGTACCTTTTCGTCGATATTTGCGAAAACTTTGCTTCAATCAATCGATATTTTATTGCCATTATAAATCATATAATCAATTCCTCACTAAAGAATTTAAAGACTTTTAAAGACTTTCTTCGCTTTTTCACACAATTCAAAGACTTTTCAAAGACCTTAAAGACCTGCATTCAAATTAAAGACTTTCAAGGATTTCAAAGACCGCTACGAACCCTGCTTTCGTTTCGTAGGCATATTGTTTGGAGTTAAATTTATTTCACTTAAAATTTAAGACTTGAAAAGCGTAACACATTATTCCTCTTAAGTTGATGGTTAGTTTTCACAGGTTTTTATGTAAGAATATACCGAGGCATATCACGGATGTTGCGAATGACGACAGCTTTTTGCATTGGCGTTTCGAGTCCATTCGTCTCGATTGTCTATATATGCTTGATCTTAACATTTTTTAAACCACTCAAACAGTGTTCTTGGACACACCGTGTGCCCCACACCCTGTTAGGCATGCGTGCAATGGCTATTTTGTACCCGTGCACCCACACTCTGTTCATGTCACCTGTTGTTTTGTATTTTCCCCATAGGTATGGTAATTTTGACATGTGATTAAACATGCTTGCAAGACCAAAGGTGTATAAAAGCGCCAATGCGCGTTCAGTGTTGTTTCTTCACCTATTTCACTTCACTTTTATTGTTATATAGCTAGTGCTGAAACTAAACGTGATTGGCTAATTTTTGGTCACGTGGATTTAGATAAATGCAATGTACTCCGCCCGACAACAAGTGAAAAAATTTGTTGCTCGCCCTGAGCCTCTAACCGGGCCAACCGGCTAGGTTCAGACAGAACGTCAGTTTTCCAGTATACAAAAAGAATGTAGTAGTATAACAGAGAAGAAAATACACAACAAGCAATGCTGCTGAAGCACTTTTTGGCAGGCTCCGACGGTCCCGTGCGTGGAAACCTCACTTTTAAAGAAATGTCCTTAAACTGGCGAAATTTGGACCTCTTTAGGAATGTTTTTAAGGTTATACCACGGGCAATAGGACAGGTGTAGTGTTGTTAAATAGAAAGTTAGAAATGGTATTATACTTACTCATGCATTATAATTATGTTTAAAAGATCAGAATATTCATAACTTATTTTGTTTCATAAATAGTTCTTTAATATTCGAAACAAATTCCATATCTGCTTCGTCTGCCATCGCCATGTTTACTCGTTATTTTCATAGGTTATTTTGCCAGGAAGGGCGGTAATGCCGTGCAGCATGTAGATTGGGACGAGTAAACATGGCGATGGCAGCAGACGAAGCAGATATGGAATTTGCTTCGAATATTAAAGAACTATTTATGAAACAAAATAAGAAGTTATGAATATTCTGATCTTTTAAACATAATTATATAAATGCATGAGTAAGTATAATACCATTTCTAACTTTATATTTAACAACACTACACCTGTCCTATTGCCCGTGGTTATACAGAACACCTTTAATTGAGTGTTAATTTTGCCTAAAAAATTTTTCTTGGTTTCCATGAAAGCATTAGACTAGTTCTACTATCTGACCAAGTGTGGACGAAAAATGTTGAAAACTCGCAGAGTTATTTAATAAAATACATTTCGCTTGCAATCAGAAAAACATTGTCATTGAAAATGTATAATATTCAAATTCAATTTTCTCCCGAAGAATTTTACGGCAATTACTGATTTTTAAACGAGTTGTGCTCCTGCGGGTTTTAACGAATTTTTCTCAAATTTTCACAGGACGTAGCTAAAGACGTCAGTTTCAAAATTGTGTTCGGGTTTGTTCTAATTTTGGATATTTTAATATTAATGAGGTTATAAGGAGCAATTCACACAAACGATTCAGAAATATATCGCAGTCGTCAAAGAAATCGCCATATCAGCGGAAGGACGAAAAAAACAAACATTTCCGAACACAATCGTCGCTACAAAACAATTAATGCATGTCTGTTCCCTTGGGAAATAGTTTGTTTCAAAACAAAACTATTTCCTCGAGAGCAGGCGCGAAGTCTATTTAATCACAAAATGAATAAAACAGTGCTGATTTTAACATAAAAAGAACCGTTAAAAAGCGTTTGGCTACCAGCTGTCGCCTGTTGAGTATTTTTCTTCTCTGTTAGATACTAGTATATTACTTTTATGGAAAAACGTTAACGTTTTTCGTAATTCTTTTAATTCGTTTTTTCGTAATTCTAAAACGTTAACGCAATTCCCTTTACAGTCGTGTCAATAGAAGCGTTCCGAAAAATGTTGACCAATTCATTTCCTAACTTGAAGCGCTTGAAGGAACACCTCTGAACAATTCCTCAACAATTTGATAAGTTCCTTAAAAAGTTCCTCACTTCCTGTTTCATTGACCAGTCAGATTGCTCAAAAATAAAATATAAAATTTGATTGGTCAGTGAAACAGGAAGTTAGGAACTTTTAAGGAACTTATCAAATTGTTGAGGAATTGTTCAGAGGTGTTCCTTCAAGTTTATAGGAAATGAATTGGTCAACATTTTTCGTAACGCTTCTTATGTACGTATCTGGTCGGTGCGGGCAACTATAGTGAATTTTTTTACTTGTTTTATGGGGAGATACTAACTTCTTATTAACCGAGCGCGAGGAGTTTACAGAGAAATAACGGACTGAGGTCTTTTTTGTACATACCGTGCCCGTGGGGCGAGGTTTGTGCAAAAAGACCGAGGTCCGATATTTCTCTGTAAAGACCGAACAAGCGAGGTTAATAAAAAGTTTATTATATGGCATTTATAGGCATTTATACTTGAAACAAACAAGAAATGCATGATTTGAGTACATATTAGTAGCGTGGTACACATTTGGTTGAAGAAAACAATGAACAAACGATCGACCCAGTGAACAACTTTTTTTGATAAGGTTGATATACAATATGAATAAAAATACATTAAAAAACTCATTAATAATTCAGGAGGAAAACACAAAGAAAAATCATAAGCGTGTCATATCTTTATATGTGATAAAAAATCATGTTAATTTACATAAACTTTAGCTTTGATTTTCTCGGTTTAGACAAAGTTTATTTTAAAAATTACGCCAATCAACTCATATAAGATGAATCGTTTTTTAAGCCATTTAAAGCACTTGTATAGTCGTGTTTTATCAGATCGGCTGCGCCTTGCGTTTTATATCTGATAAAACACTCCTACGCGTGCTTTAAATAGTACATATAACACCACATTCAGTGGCGGAAATCTCGGTTGGGGGGGGGGGGGCGGCCGCCTCCCTAACCTTCGTGAAAAATGACGAATTTTCGGAAATTTTGACCTATAAAAGGGCTAAAAACAGCCTTTTCGAGTGCAAATGGGGGGGTTTGTCGGAAATTTGAAAGTTTTGTCGGAAATTTAGAAGGCTTGGCCCCTCCCTCGCCAACCGGAAAAAGTGAATTTCCGCCATTGACCACATTAATTAAGATTTAAGAACATTTTTTTTAAGAACGAATCACAAATACTAACACTGACGTCATCACTACTTATTATGTTTCGGAAGCCTTTGTCTTTGAGTAAATCAGAAGCGTTTTAATCTCGTGGCGCAAAGACCGTCATATTTTCAGAAGGAACCCGTAGCAAGTACAGTTTTTAAAGATGTAGAATTTTTGGCAAGTCGTTAGCTACAGTTTTATGCATGCACAATTTGAAGAAAGGTGCAAAACATTGACTCCATTTGACCATTTCTATATATAGGTGCTTTAGTTGGTCACATGGTAGAAGAATGTTTCGTCAATTCTCTGGAAGAATGTTGTGATATGTGTAGATTCTACCAACCTGATTGCAAGTCAATGAATTACGTGATTGCAGAATACTCATGCAAACCTATAACAGCCATATGTGAAATAAATAATATAACTAAAAATGAAGCTAAACAAGAAAACTTTATTCAAAGACCAAACTCGCAATATTTTGAACATTTATTATGTTAAACATTTATTTATCAGACATTCCAACCACTGGAGGTAAAATTTAGGGAGACTATTCAGTGAATTGAAATCTAGTTCTTCGGGGAAAAAATAATGGCATTTTGATTTTGGGAATATGTTGTTATAAGTTATCCTATATACTTGTCATGAAGTAACTTCATGAAAAGGTCAAGACAGACTATATTATGTTGCTAAAAACGTGCAGTATGTTTATGATTTTTTATGATATTTCCTGAATATTCTGAAAATTCGGGAGCTGAGAAATTGATAAAAATCGGGAGTCAGACCAGACTGATGAGATCGCAAGAATTTTTGGGAGACTCTCGGAAAAACTCGGGGGAGTTTGGAATGTTTGCATTATGTTGAACTGATCGATACTCTAACACCGTAATGTATAATAAATTATTTAATTTATACTTTATACTTTATTAAAAGACCGATTTTGTAACCTAAAACTTTAGCCTACAACAAATAACTGTTAATTTATTACTATTTACTGTTAAATATGTATTCATGCATCTCATTGGACGAAAGCGTATCACGTGGAAGTCACGAAATTCGACTATCTCTCCTTGGCAACGCCATAGAATAAACATCCATATAGAAGGGCCACTTAAGTCGGAAGCTTTGAAGTTTCTGTCCTCGCGCATGTCGCATTACGCGTGTTGGACGCCATTTTCCTAGCCAGTCGATGACATTTCCTGGCCAATAAACACGCTGTACTGGCTGGCTGCTCCGCCTTCTGGCCAGTAAACTGCACTGATTTTTTCATAAAAAAACGCGGACACTTTGCACCGCTGAGTGGCCCTTCTGTTACTGATCTTTATTCTGTGGCAACGCCGCAACAGCTCCGGGCGGTGAACCTGACTATACTGACTTTTAGATAGAGGACATTACACGGCGGCGCGAAGATATTTAACAGTTATTCTACGAACTCGAGTCGAATATGAGCTGATAGCCGGCGCCTCATCGGCTATCGCTCATATTCGACGAGAGTGAGTGGAATAACTGTTTTATTATATATACACAAGGTCTGAATTCACAGACTTTGCTTTTCGAATATTTTCAATATTTTTCTATTTTGTTTATGTTTTTATCTTCGCTCTTTCGGCCGATTGTTTTTTCAAAAATATATATTTTTAACCATTTTAAATTTTAAACATTTATTTACCTGAAAACAATTTGTGGGAGTTTTTTCATTGTGTTTTTAATCCTGTAAAGGCTATAAAAAGCGACAACTTGTCGTTTTCTCGTTTGCAAAACATCGTAAATTCAGTTTGGCCGCCATTTTGTTTTCCTCTACTAGCAGGATATGAGCTAATATCCTGCTAGTAGAGAACCAATCGGATTGCAGAATACCTCATATCCAGACCTTGTGTATATAATAAGACTTTTTATCTTCGAGTGGTGAAAAGAACATATTTTACGAACGAGCGCAGAGTGAGTAAAATATTGTTTTTATAACACGAGAAGATAAAAGTCATATCTTCAAGCCAACGTGTAATGTTCTGTTTATTATACAGGGTGTATCAAAAAAAACTGAACAGATTTAAAATTGCTCTCAATTTTGCAAAACAGCTATTTGTATCTGTTTTTTAATACATATAGCTTCTTTGGGTACTTATAATGTAAAATAATGAAAAAAATTTCTCGAACTCAAATTTTGTGAACCAGGGGGGTGTGTCTTTTCCAACAAACTAAAAATGGCTCGCGCACAAAATTTAAAAGCTGCAATCATATTTTGAGTCGACAGATGGAAAATTTGTCGGGATTTTAATTACTGTACAAAATTTCAGACAATTTGGTTTAGTTTAAGCCCCTTAACTATTTACGCAAAGTTACAATTTTCCCGAAAAATCAGCTATTTGCATGCTTAATTAATGCATTTGCCTAATTTGCATATGTCAACAATATGCAAATTAGGTAAAGGCATTAATTAAGCATGCGAAAGGCTGACTTTTTAGAACAAAATGAATAGTTAAAGGGGCTTAAACTAAACCAAATTGTCTGAAATTTTGTACAGTAATTAAAAACCCGACAAATTTTCAATCTATCAACTCAAAATATTATTACAGCTTTTAAATTTTGTGCGCGAGCCATTTTTAGTTTGTTGGAAAAGACACACCCCCCTGGTTCACAAAATTTGAGTTCGGGAAATTTTTTTCATTATTTTACATTATAAGTACCCAAAGAAGTTATATATATAAAAAATCAGATACAAATAGGTGTTTTGCGAAATTGAGAGCAATTTCAAATCTGTTCAGTTTTTTTTGATACACCCTGTATAGTCCCAAGCAAAAAATTGTATAAATACTAAAAGTCACGTGATCGATATCTTCACTAGTGAAGATACGGAAAATATCTCACTGTGTATTTTTCAGTATCTCACTCTCTACTATATATAATAAAACTGACTATGAACGGTTGAATGTCTGTTGCCTACTCGTGTTTGGGACTTTAATTTACCCAACAGGTTGTTTCAAACATGCAGGTGACCCTTTCCATGTGACGCAATTTGATTTTTTTATATATATTGTCAATATAGTATGTGCATGCATGTGTGTTTTTCTTAAGTGAACTCAAAAGTCTTTTGTCTGGCAAGTTTTATTCGTAAGAAACCACTTCGAATAACTGTAGTAGAATATATTAATAAACATCTCGAAGATCTAGATATTGCGTGAAATTGGTACTGCAACTACAGTAAATATATATATTTATACTAAGAACAACAGAAGTTTGCAAGAGCACGAAATTGGTTGGACAAACGTCGTGCATGGGAATAATGGCTTCAAACAGGTCAAAGTTGACCCGTTGCATGACGCAGTTTGAAAGATGTTTTGAGAACAATTATATACATTTTGCATGATGCAGTTCGAAAGATGTTTTGAGAACAATTATATATATATTGCATGACTCAGTTTGATCGGACTTTGAGAGGAAAGGGAGTTAGATACTCAGTTCACTCGCACACACAGCAAGAATTATATCCTAAGCGAACGTGGAGCGGAGCGGACGTATGTGTTCACTCGCACACACAGCAAGAATTATATCCAAAGCGAACGTGGAGCGGAGCGGACGTATATTTTTGTGCTCTGATAAATTTTATATTTTAACCAAAGAACTGTACTTGTATCATGCCAATGCTCATACTAACGATTGTATATATACATATATACAAGGCTTATCAATATATATAAATAGCTGGAGAGAAAGCTGATAAGTCAAGACTGCTCAAATAACAATCATGCAACGAAGCTCGATCGCTGAGTTAAAGATGTCGTGGTCAGGAGACTTTGAATCACTCAAACGGTTTGTCAAAGAGTCGTTAAACATCGTCGGGACATGGTCCTCGCCTGGTGGAGAGAAAAAGTTATTCTCAAGCAGTGATGTTAACATACAATGGTGAAAAAAAAAGACATTTTTAGCTGTCGACGGTCCAGAGGCAAGCAAAGTTATTCGTTGTCTTTTAAATTTTATCGATAGTTCGTTCGCAGAACAGTGCTCCGATAACATTGAAGTTTCGTCTGATAAATGCCAGTGTACCGGGGTGGAAATGGAAGGTGTAAAGTTAGATATCGTAATTTTAGAAGCTAAATTTAATAAACAATCGGACGCACTTGAAAAATTACACAACGAGATGGCCAGTCTTATTTCTAAGCCTAAGGCCGCTCATTTGGGCGAATCGTTTACTGAATCCACACAGAATGGGGAAAATATTCCCACAGAGTGTCTTCAAAATGACAAGATTCAGCGTTTAGAAGCAGACATTGCTATCTTAGTCAGAGGACGAAATTTCGAGGTAAATGAATTAAATAATATTATTGACACTCTTAACAAAAAGAGTGAACTAATAGACACTTCCCGAATTTGCTTGAGTGCACACGAAACAATAGCTTGGAGTCGAGGCGGACAATGTAATCCATTGGAAATAAGTATAGTTTTCCAATGGATTACATTGTCCGCCTCGATTCCAAGCTATTGTTTCGTGTGCACTCAAGCAAATTCGGGAAGTGTCTATTGAAGCGTCAAATGTGGCCCTTAAACATGAAATTGTTGGCTTAAAAATGCTAAAGTCATCAAACCATTGTAATGATATGGGTAATTGGAACAGTGAACAATGCGATCACCAAAGTCTAGATCTCATTAATCAAGGGACCAAACAAAAACAAATGCAAAAATATGGTAATCGTTGCCTAAATGATAAGGCACCCGTGCATGAAGTCTCTATGGTCTCACTTGAAATTGCCAATGAACACGTATCTGAAGCGGAACAGCATAACATTACGAATAATTTACCAACTACTATTACAGACAATAGTGCCATTATAATAGCTGATGAATGTGCATCTGAAGTGGATAAGCATAACATTACGAATAACGTGCCAGCTACCTCAGTAAATAACACCATTATAATGGCTGATGAACGAGAATGGCTTGGTCACCTCCCTTTGATTGAAGCACCTAATAACACTACGAATAATTTACCAACTACTATTACAGACAATAGTACCATTATAATAGCTGATGAATGTGTATCTGAAGTGGATAAGCATAACATTACGAATAACGTGCCAGCTACCACAGTAAATAACACCATTATAATGACTGATGAACGAGAGTGGCTTGGTCACCTCCCTTTGATTGAAGCACCTAATCCGGCTCCATCAAAAAATCTACTTTATGAAAGCACTTTCAACCACACTTTTCGAAGTAGATATAATCCAGAAGCACCACATCAACAATTTCATAAGAATAAGTACAACAGCCGGTGTATACGTAAAGGCCAGAACTTTAAGCGACCAGTTATCCATCGCAATAATCCAATTACGCCCCATTTTCGATGGTGCCAGACCAATTACCATCCCCTACTACGATCCGAGAGACTAACACAAAGTTCAGAATGGGAAACGTACTTAGACTTTGTCCATCAAATGACAACGCCCTACAGGGCCTTTTTTAAGGATTTTCCCGTGGGGGGGCATTTTAGGGGGCGATAGCAATGGCTGAAGGCTACGTGTGTGGCCAATATACCACGCATGAATGGGGGTGGTCTGGGGGAGTACTCCCCCAGAAAATTTTTGAAATTTGAATCCCGGAAATGTCATTTTCTGCATTCTGAGCATCCAAATTTGCTCCAAAATTTATGCTAACTATACTTGTATTTGAAATAAATAAAGGAAAAAACGCACAAAAAGTTAAAAAAAATTAACCATCATTTATCGTTACTTATTAGAGGAGGATGGCAATGGTCAGGTGTGTGGGGGTGTACTCCCCCAGAAAATTTTTGAAATTTGAAGCACGAAAATGCCATTTCCTGCATTCTGAGCATCCAAATTTGCTCTAAAATTTATGCTAACTATATTGTATTTGAAATAAAAGATGGAAAAATGCACAAAAAGTAAAAAAGAATATTAACTGTAATTTATCATTACTTATTAGAGGGATAATCTCAAGAAAATTTTTGAAATTTGAAACCGTGAAATGCTATTTCCTGCATTCTGAGCATCCAAAAAATAAAAAAATTATTAACAATAATTTATCATTACTTAGTGGTAAAAAAAGTAACAATTTAAATCGATTTTGTTAAACAAGAACAAAGGATAAAGCCTAAAACTTACTTTCCGTTTATGTATTTGTTAATCTTCGCTGGTTTGTTTCTATAATTTTAGGGGAAAGGGACTTTTCCTGGGGGGGCAAAATGTGATTTCGTGGGGGGCACAAGGGGGAACTGGGGGGGCAAATGCCCCCCCCCAGCTTGTATGTTAAAAAAGGCCCTGATATATATATATATATATATATATATATATATATATATATATATATATATATATATATATATATATATATATATATATATATATATATATATATATAATTAGCGATAATGCAAAGCTCACTTTCTGGATAACCAGAATGTAACATTGCCGTCCTATACTATATTAGACCATGGGCCAGGCATGGACTGGATGAACCACCTAGCTTTGCGTATGGAAATTCCCGTTAGAATTACTCGCCGCGAAAATTTGAGAAACAAAAAAACAGTCCATGCGTATAATAATTTAATCCCACTACAGGCTAGTGAGAACCACACTAGCAGAAATACGTGTAGTACCCCATTAACCCCAAACGATCAGATATCAGTTCCCTCTAGTCTCAACATTGTTCATTTGAACATTCGCTTGTTAAGAAATATCGTTCACCTTACTGAGGTCAAGGAACTAGTAAAGTTAAATAATATCGATGTCCTCACAATTTCCGAATCATGGTTAAATTCCTCAGTGACGAACCGTGAGATAGCAATCGACGATTATAAGATCCACAGACTTGACCGGTTACACAAGAAAGGTGGAGGTGTCTGTGCTTATATCAAGAAGAATATTAAAGCAACTGTCTTAAAAGATTTATCGAAGGTGTCAGTCTCTAACTTTCATCAACTATGGATAAATCTACAATGCCAAAAAAAACAAATCAATAATAATTTGTGTAACCTACCGACCACCTGACACTTCTCTAAATTGTTTCGAAGATTTACTTAAGCCAAATTATGTTCAGGCTTTAACTTTGAATAAACAGATTTTAGTGCTCGGTGACTTAAATTGTAACATGCTAGAAAATGGCCAAGAGCGGAGAGCGCTAACAAATTTTTCTACAGAATTAAATCTCACACAGATTATTAAAACTCCAACTAGAATCACAGCGACGTCCCAAACGCTTATTGATGTTATTCTAGTCTCATCCACAGCACTTGTTCTTGAGAGTGGTGTTATTAACACTTCTATCAGTGACCACCTACCAGTGTACGTCCTACCAAAGATGCCAGCATGTTACATTACAACTAGGAGTTATAAAAACTATAATCCCTCACTATTTTCCTCTGACCTTGTCACTAAATCGGATCGTCTGTTATCCATATTATCCAACACCAACGTTAATACAATACTCGAAACCTTCAAAGATGTTCTTCACTCAACTCTCGACGTGCATGCACCGTTAAAAACCTTCAAAATTCGAAATCGATCATGTCCATATGTCACCAATGAAATAAAAGAACTCGTGAAGTCTCGGGACCTACACCTCCGTCGGTTTCAACTGACACGTGATGAAGGTGATTGGGTAGTTTACAAAGAATATCGTAATAACGTAAAAACCAAAATTAAAGCCGCAGCGAAGGACCACACCTTCAACGAAGTAAGAGAACATAAACACAATTCGAGATCCCTATGGAAAATAATTAATAATATAATTCCCTCGAAGGAAAAGGAAACACAAGTTTATAGTAAAGATCCAAAAACAGTTGCAGAAGATTTCAACCTTTTTTTTACTTCTGTGGGACGGAACGCTGCTGCGACAGCCGAAAGTTTAGCCAAAGACAACAATGTTGCACTGTCAAATCCTCTGTCAAATGTAATCACTTATCCATCTGATCAACTGTTCAATTTCCAATCCGTTACTTGTACAGAGGTTCAACGCATTATCATGGCTATGCCAAGTAAGGACCAGATAAAATAGGATCACCAGGACCAGATAAAATAGGCATGCGTGTCATCAAAGACTGTCTTCCAATCATACTGGGTCCTCTTACGCATATGATAAATTGCTCTCTAATGACAAGCACATTCCCTGACCTATGGAAGATTTCTGAAGTTATACCCCTACTAAAAGAAGGAGACCACGAGATAGCCTCAAACAATCGGCCTCTCTCACTACTCGAGGTAGTTTCAAAAGTTTGTGAAAAAGTTGTTCTAAATCAATTTAGCTCCTACCTCAAAGAATTTAATCGCATATCGTCACATCAAAGCGGGAATAGGAGTCTTCACTCCACCGAAACCTTAAACATATTTGTTACCGATACGATGTTGGAAGCCATAGACAACAAAAATCTAACGGCACTAATTTTATTGGATTTATCCAAGGCATTTGACAGTGTCAGTCATTCGATTTTATTACACAAATTGAGTTGTATCGATGCTTCACCCGAAGCTGTTAAATGGTTCCAAGACTATTTAACAGGCAGATCCCAATACGTGCGCATTGGATCCACCAAGTCATCAGCTCGCCCGATAACCCATGGCGTTCCACAAGGTGCAATACTATCACCACTTCTGTTTTGCATCTATATTAATGATCTGCCAGGGAGCATACAATCGTGTAACCTTGATTCATACGTAGACGACTCAAAGCTTTACAAATCATTCTGCATCTACGACTTGGAACAGACAACTATCAATTTAGAGGCAGATCTACAAATAGCAGCCAAGTGGTGTTTGGAGCACCAATTACTGATCAATCCAGAAAAAACTAAATTCCTTTTAGTCGGTTCAAGACCCATGCTGCAGAATGTACCTACAGAAATATCGCTAACATTTTTAGGAAAGACTATAAGACCTGTTTTATTAGCTAAAGATTTGGGTATCAATTTGGATTCGTACCTATCCTACGACGACCACATATCTAAACTCGTTTCGTCGTGTATGAGAAAACTATGTCAAATAAATCGCGTGAAGGATAGTTTCGATAATGAAACATTAAAATTGGTCATTGAGACACTTGTAATTAACAAGCTTCTGTACTGCTCTACGGTGTGGTCCAACACGTCATCTAACAATATCAATAAACTTCAATCAGTGCAGAACTTCGCGTGCAGAGTTATATCAGGTGTAGGAAAGTTCGATCACATAACTCCGGCGTTGCGCGAACTATATTGGTTGCCAGTGGAAAAGTTATTATTGGAAAGGGATACTGTAATGGCTTACAAGTGTTTTAATGGACTTGCACCTGACTACCTAGTAGATAAATTTATAAAGCGTTCCGACATACATGATCGATCGACACGAAATCATGACCTCTTGGACATCCCTCTGTATAAATTTGCTGCAGGTCAAAGAACATTTAATTACCGGGGTGTTAAAATATGGAATGACTTGGATGATAAACTAAAAAATATTACATCAATAACAATTTTTAAGAAAAAACTTAAGGGAGATTTTACTAAAAGAATCCTATTAAATACATTTAATATTTTATACTCTTTGTACATATTTTAACTAATTTTAAATAAGTATATGTAACATAGGTAGTTTTAGTAGTAATTTATAGTAATTTTAATATGTAATGTAGTGTTGAAAAGCCCTGAGGGGAACACGCAATAAAGTATCTATCTATCTATCTAATTTTGGTCGATACCGATACCAAAATCGATACCGATACTCAATTTTTTCCATTTATTAAAATAACTTTTAAAACAAGAACATTAATATGAATTTTTTTTTCTGTGTTGATGTTGTGTACTCAGGTGAATAATATGTTTGCGATGTTACTCTGAGTGCATATCCACACCGGGCGAGCTTGAAAAATATGCCCGGCCACGGTGGGATTCGAACCTACGACCTTTGGAATACTAGCCCAATGCTCTTCCAAGTCTAGCTTCGCGTAGCTCAGTTGGAAGAGCATTGGGCTAGTATTCCAAAGGTCGTAGGTTCGAATCCCACCGTGGCCGGGCATATTTTTCAAGCTCGCCCGGTGTGGATATGCACTCAGAGTAACATCGCAAACATATTATTCACCTGAGT